CTGTACCCTACAGAAGCCCATACGTGTTCAAGTATGTGCGTAAAGACTTAAAAATCACAACACTGTAGTTTGAAAAAATAGGACACGATTTGTGTGTCCATCAAGAGGAGAACAGTTGAATACCTCATAGTACCTCCCTACAATGGAATACTAACAATCATTAATAAAAACAAAGGCTTACAAAGAAATGTTTTGTGATTTATGTTACTGGCATCTAGTCTGATGCTTTGACTTTAGACAAGTGTGCACAAATGTGAAATCTGCTCCAAAACGGTAACAAAATAAACAAGGAAAAACTATATATATATATGCATATATATATACACATATAATATGCATACTATATGTTGGCTTTTTAACAAAAATTTCTGAGTACTACTTATAGTATTATCCCATTTATACTTTTTTTAACAGATTCTAAGCATGTACATGTATACGCAGGTCTCTGTGTAAATTTATATTTGCACATTGGAAGGGGATGGCTGTTAATTTTTTACTCAGGCTTTTGCATGTTTGCCTTTTTTCACAATATGAGGGCATTTGCCTTATAAATAAAAAGAATAGTGAAGATAAACAAGATAGGAGAAGCGGGGCAGGTGACGTCTGTGTTCCCACCCTTCCCTGTGACTGATGCTGAGGAGTCCTGTGTCCGCAGTCTTGAGAGACAGCTGTGCACTGATGAGCTAAATCTCCATCCACGGCTCTTGATTTAGATCTGCAGAACTGTCCAGCCTTGTCGCTTTCTGGGGCTGTCCTTCTGGGTTTTGCTCTGGATACTCTTTTCCCCAAGTATGCCACAGAACTGGCCCTGGAAGCAAGGTGTTGCAGACGGGATAGCCACTCAGGTAGCCACTCCCAGCGCAAAGAGGAGCCCGGACAATGGTGGTTTCTAACCTGTGCTCGTACCTGCAAATGACAGTCCTGCAAAGAGTGACCTGAGACAGAGGGAACACTTGATTCTGCTCAGGTAAATCAAGGAAGGCTTCCCAGAGAAGGGGGCGTCTAAGAAGGTCCCACAGGATGAGTAGGAGTTGGACAGGCAGTGAACAAAGGAGGAGACTATTCCCAACAGAGGAGCTCTACAAACAAAAGCTCTGAGTTGTGACCGAATGGGCATGGTGAAGGTGTAGGGGAGTGAAGTGTGGCCAAGGGCTTGAGCCATGGGTGGATCTGGGGAAAGTGGGAGGGGTGAGGCTAAAAGTCTGTTTGGAGATCTGGACTTTTCTAGGCTAGTAGGGAGTCATGGAGGATTTGAAGAAAGAGACTTAATCAGACCGAAGTGCGGAAGACTGAAGATTTCAATCCTCCCTTTCCTTCTACTCTTATCCTTCTAGAGAGGAGACTCCAGCAAGTAGGAATAAAAGTCAGAATCTCTGGAGGCATCAGAAGTGCCCGGGTTAGGCTGTGGGGTCAGCTGCTGTCAACACAGGAAGCCTTGCTCTTTTGTGGGCACTTTGTTCTGAGCAGTCTAGACCTGGTGGAGCCCTATCCCCTGCTGCACACAGCACACTGGATCCCTGGGGTGTGGCAAGATGGGGCATAGAGGGAGGGAACCAGGGAGAAGGGCCATAGAGGGCTCTGCGTGGCTACTGGGAGACTCACTAGGGAGAGGCCAGGGCGTTCCGTCGTCCTCTCTGGGTCCCGTGTATAATCAGGTTTGCTGGATCACTCGACTTCCTTCCACCCTTTCCTGTCACTGCCTGGCCCAGGGCGTGTGGCACAGAGCAGCTCCTGCTGGCTGGAGGGGCTGAGCAGGTGAGGGGAGGCAGAGGCAGGGCAAGGTTGCCATGGAGACAGAGGGGGGATGGCAGGAGACGGATGGGAGGAGGTAGCTGCCTTGGGGACAACCAGAGGTGTGCGGCTGGGGTGCAGGCGCAGAGGCCAGGAGAGGCTGGCCTGGAAAGAGGGGGCAGAACAAAGGGGTCTCAGGACCACACCCATCCCTGTAGTGCACTGTCTCTCTAGAGACACGAGGTTTTGTCCGACATTACTTACAACCCTGGTGCCCATGAGGGTCTCTGCAAGGAGCCAAAACTTGTCGATGATGAGGAAGGAAAAAATGCCCAATTTCTGGTCCCTGCCCTGCTTCTACCTTACTGGGCTCTGAGCCTTGTTTCCCAGCTGGGACCCTCAGTGCACCATGCAAGGTATATTTGTCATGGCTAGGTACTCACTGCCAAGGAACCCCGGACAAATGTCCTTTCCTTCCCCTCAATTTCCCCAGGTGTTTGATGAGAAGGTGGGACAGGAAGATTCCTGGGTGCCCAACAAGCAACTGCCACCAGCAGAGCCAGGGCTGACCGTCCACACTCCCTGTAGAAGACACTTCCACCCCCACACCGGGGCTGGGGCTGGGCAGTCAGGAGTCTGCCAAGGCCTGCAGTGCCTCAAAGAGCAAATTGAATTTGTGGTTGGAAATTTCATGACCAAATAGACTGCCCTTTAAAGATTCCAAATTGGTTTTAGAGACAAATGGATAAGATTAGTGGGGGTGGGGAGAGGAAAAGGGGAAGCAGATGGAATCGCCACCCAAAGCCTCTGACTCGCTGCTGTCAGCTCCACAGTTCTCCATAGCTGCAGGAGCCCAAACCAAAACCGCCCCCAACTCTCTCGTCCAGCAGGGACAGCAGCCAGAGCCACCAAAATGGTTCTGATGGGTTTAATCTGAAGGAGCAAGGTGGGAGACGCCCCTGGGATGAAGTGACTGCCACCAGGCAGTTTCCAGAGCCCAAGGGGATGGGGAGAACTGCCCCACACTTCTTCCTTCTGCCCGGGAGCCTCAGGCCACTCACATCCCTCCCTGCTGACCCTGAAGAAGATGCTCTGTCTGCAGCCTTTTTTTGAAAATAGTCACGTACAGATACAGTGCCTACACTTTTGTGCCAGCATCACGGTGTGGGATGAATGGGGGAGGGTTAGATAACATACATGGCTGTGTATAAAGGACTCAAGATATGGTAGCAGTATACTGCTTTAAGCCGCAGCATTCTGTCTGCTATCTACCTACCTACCTACCTGTCATGTTTAGGCTCAGTTGCATACCTACACACATAGTCACAGACACACACACAAATATTATGTCTAGAGTAAACATACACATACATGCTAGTTCTGATACTGTGGGGTGGTTCCATAGGGCTTACCATTGCCTGATACATAAAGCTATCAGAAGACTGTGGCTCCCTCAGGCGTGGTCTTCCTTGAGTATCTGCAACGATGAAGCTTCAGCACTTTTCAAATGTAAGACACTCAGCGCTCCTACTCACCATGGGAACCCCTATTTGTGAGGGCCGAGTCTTATGACTGTGTTCAGGAAGTATCTGTGAAACTAGTGCTCCAGGTTTCCTTGCAGCCTGTTGAGGGTGGACAGTGAGTAGTGAGGGTGGAAGCCGTGGAGAGAAAAGAGACACCTCGAAGGTTTCTCACAAAAAGAGAAAGCATTTGGTACTTGTGAATGTGTGTCTGATTTATTTCCCTTAACCTTATGGTCTCAGAGTGCATCCATTTTCCTACAAAGAACTTAAACTTACCTTTCTTCGTGGCAGAGCAGTACTCCATTGTGAATATATACCTAATTTTCTTTATCCATTCATCTGGTGATGGACATAAAGGCTGCTTGCAAGATTTAGCTCTTACACTGCAATATGATGTTGTTACCTCTTTGAGGGAGATACCCAGAGAGGAATAGCTGGGTTGAATGGGATTTCTGAGAAAAAACAAAGTAAAATAATTTAAAGAGCAAAATAACAGAGACAGTATGAAGTAGGGAGATGGCAGATCATTTGCAGATGGGAAGAGGAACCATAGATGGAGGGAGGGAAAGGAGAGGAGAGCAAGAAGAAGTGAAAAGAATTAAGATGCGTTATGTATAAGTACCGACGTCACATAATGGGTGTGATCCTTATGTACAACAAACAGATACAGAGAGAGCCTCATGGAGCACAGGGGCCCAGCTCTGGGCTCAAGGTCACCATCCAAGACCTGCTCTGATCCAGTCACAAAGAAACAGTCCCCATGCTTCCCTGGGGGGAACAGGACCCCAGTCCTCACTGAAGAGCATCTGGCATATTTCCCAAGACCCCGCTGGGCACATCAATGCAAACTCAGAGCAGCTGTTTTCCCTGTGGCAGCACAGGGCCTCCTGGAGAGGCGGCTATCCCTGCTGTGGAGGGGTCACTGCCAAGGAGGTGGTGGGGTGGCGCTCACAGAGCCCCGGGGACTGGCTCGTAAGCTCTCCACTTCCAACACGGGCGTGCATCCCTGGGTGGTCACTGATAGACTCCTCCAGAGGCGAGGGAGGGACTTTCCAGGGTTGAGGTTCAAAGGGCCAGAGAAGACCTTTGAAATCCCCACATGTGGGGTTGGGACACAGCTCAATGGTAGAGAGTGCTTGGGCTCCATCCTTGGTATCTCCCCCCAAGCCCCACAGACAGTTCACAGGGGCAGTTAGCATGGCATACTGTGTTAGGGGCTGGCTTTGGGCATGACGGGCTGTGTGGCTTTGAAGCATCTCCTCCCAGTCTCAGATTCCGAGGTGACAAAGAGGTTGACACCCAAGTCTTCAAACCGAGTGCCTTCTCTCCCCACTGGGGAAGTCACCTCCCTGTGACTGTGAGCTCCTTCCGTGGGCCCCACTATGCTTACAAGTCGGTCTCTCACAGAAGTGCCACCAAGCTCTCCAACTGGGACGGAAGTCAGGAGTGTAGATCCCAGCTCTGAATTATGGGCAGGACATGTGTGTCCCCACAGAGGACTGCAGCAAAGACCAGGCAACCAGCAGCTTCCACAAGAATATGGCCAGAGTGGAGCCCCTGGGACGGGGAGGAGTTCCAGCTCTGGGGTCAGGATGGGGACTGGATGGAGACGGGTGGGGGTGGCTTGGCCTCTGTTGTATGCAGATATGGTAACAATGGGCTGTTGTGGGAGGGGTGAGTATGGTCCTCAGAGCCCTGCTGCCAGCCCTCGGGAGCACAGCACCTCTTTGGCTGGACCTCTGGACCATGGACAGGGACCCGAGTGAAGACGACAGTAAGTAGCACTTTGGGGCCTGGGTGCCTACCTGAGAGCTAGCCTCAGCCCCAGCATGGCCAGGTCTGCTCCGAGTTCCTGAGGGATCTACAGTCCTCCTCCTTGCCTTCCTTCCTCTCTTAGGTAAAGCCTATTTGCAGCCTGCTGCCTCTTCTTCCATTATTGATGAGGAGGCCAGGCAAAGCTAACATGCGGATTTGCTCCCTGACTCCCTTTCCCTAGATGACAGTGCCTCTTCCCCAGCCAAGTGTAAGTGCAAATAGCAGATTCTGACGTCAATCACTTTCTTGCTTTAGTAATGAACCTGCTTGTTTCATTATTGCTACCAAAACACAACCCAGGTGACCCCTTCCCGTCACAAGGACAGAAATACAATGGAATCTAAAGACTGCTTAAAAACATAGGAAGGAAATGGTATTTTAGAAGGAGCTAGGCTATGTTTGAAGAGAAGAAATTTTGGATCCTGAATTTGGAAGCAAATCAGCAATCAGGAGGATAGGGTTCGAATCCTGGTTCTGCTTTGACTGGCAGATCACTTGGGCCATCTTGGGCACATCCTTATCCTCTTCAAGTCTCAGTTTCCCACCTATGAGAAGACCTTAGTCGGGAGCTCATCATAGTCTGATGACCCTGAGACGTGGGCAGTTGCATGTGTGCCTTTGGGGATTGTAGAGGGAGCCTACAATCTTCACCCCAATCCCAAGAGGCTGTGACACATCTTCAGCGTCACCAGACACTGTGAACCCAGGGGGCCTTTGCAGATTCAACATGCTTTGCTGCCTCTACTGTTGGAATTATAAAGCTTTAGGTTTTAGAACTGAAATAATATAAAAGCAACCTATACTTAGAGCAACTCAGTCTAAATTTTGTTGGGTTCCTTTCCCTCATTGAAGTAGGAGACAGTATGGAGGTACCTTACTAAGCATTTGAAGAGATAATCTGTGATCAAATTATGTCTCTAGACCCTTGAAAAAGGAAACTGAGCTAACATAGGGGTGCACACCTGCAATCCCAGCTCTCGGGAGGCTGAATGAACCAGGAAGATTGCTGTGAGTTCCAGCCAGCCTAAACTACAAAGTGAGACCCTGTCTCAAAAAACAAAAACAAAGCACAAAGCAAACTGCTACTAATGGAAAAGTTGATCACTTGTGAGGTTTCCATATTGGTCTTGTGTGTGTGCGTTTTGTTGTTGTTGTTGTTGTTTTGGTACCAGGGACGGAACTCAGGAACTTGTGCTTTTGAGGCAGGTGGTGGAACCAACTGAGCTAAATCCCCAGCCTGGTCTTATGCTTTTTTATAAGCCCTCTGAGAACGAGATGAGTGATTTAACTCCTTCACAATTCTCAAAGCCCTGATTACGAAGTAGGGTCCTCTGCATGCTGGGTGCCAATGTGGTGGTACTCAGCTCAGCAATTAGGGTCCCCTGAAGGTGTGGGGCCATCCAAAAAAGGGCTTAGAAACCCCATGGGTGAACTGGAAATGGGGCGTCCTTTCTCCAGGCGTGATAAAGGGAGTCCGCTGCGGAATTTATGTAGTAAAAGTGTGCACGGAGATGAAGTGGCTGGCTGCCTGCCTCGTCTCATGGAGGTACCAAGGCTACTCCTTGCTCCACAGTTATTTATTTATTTATTTTTAGCTTCACCACATCCTGCTCTTCACAGTCCTGGGTATAAGTAGGTTACCTGCTCAAGGTTCCAGCAGAGAGCCAAAAGGGGGGAAAAATCCCTTTTTTCCCTGCACATCACATCTTTTGTAATTTCTTTTATTACAGACTGAAACCTTCCCAGATATAAGGAAGAGGATCTTTGAGTAAGGTAGTTTGTAACTCGAGCCCTCTGTAATCTTCAGAGGGGGCTTCTCAGGTTTAGGGCCATAAGGCCTGGGTTGCTGCTCCTTCCTGGGCATCAGACCCTGTGGAATTAGAGCACAGCTGAACAGAGCTCTCCAATCCGTGCTTCCCAGGGTCCCTGGCAGCCATCACCCTACTGTCTTGTCTTTCTGTCATGGTCTCTTGCATACCTCGAGTATCACTCAGGTCACAAGGCGCCCATGTGCTTGACAAAATGGGCACCCACCTGGTGCTCTGTGCCCGATACCCCCATGGGCCCACTGTGTGCCACTCTGTCAAGGTGACAGACGGAAACGGGCCGCGGAACAAACCTGCGAGTTCTATGGTCCTGGGGGCTACAGGGGCATGGTTTCTGTGACTCAAAACGACTTATCTGGAAGCATGGACAATTTCCCTAGATTGCTTTTACCATCTGGATTAAAAGGAATGGCATTTTCAAAAGAGAAAGCTAACAAGGTCATCCATTAATAGCCTCTTTCTTAGTAAGAAATATTCCTTTCTGAACAAAAGAAAAACCCTTGGTGGAGAGTGAGCTGAGACACTACCTTGTTGACTGTCTCTGCAAAGCTTTCTCAGCAGCCACCCCATGTTTGCATGGTGCCACAGAGATGCACGGGGTGAGGTAAGAGCCCCAGCCCCTGAGCTGGGAGTGAGGTTCTGAATTTTAAGCACTCTGCTCTTCCTCTCTGCTGCCAATGTTTGAACTGGGGCCCTGAGCAACATCTCTGGGCCCCATGTTCTCTGCAACCAGGGTAACTGGTTTGATGATGCATGTAAGACACAGCGTCTGCCCGTTCCTTGTGAGCCCCGGGCATGACACATGTATTAGGGTGTGGTGGCTCCACTGCCCTGAAACTCAGTCCCAGCACCACAGGAACAGGGACACAGCTAGATGCTAGTGAGGGGCACAACGCCCAGTGCCTACTGCACAATGCCCCGTGACGTTCCTGTTGTGCTGGCCGAGATCTGCATGGGAAATGACATATCCTCTTGTAGCTCAGGCTCCAGACCTTTATTCTCGTACATAGCATAATGGCGGGATTAATTTGGCTCTGAAGAGCTGTGACTGCTGCCCCAGAGGTCAGGGCAGGTCCCAGCTGATGGATGGATCTCTGACTTTCCAGCCTCTCATTCCTCCCCTCTTCCTGCCCTCTGTGTTTTGTTTTCAGGGCAGCATGGAAGCCACATGGCAATTCCCCGTGTTCTTGTCAAGACACCCAAGACTGCAGGGAGGGCCAGGCCACACCAAAGGACAGGGCTGTGCTAGTCACTCACTGTTCCCACCCTTGACATGAGCTCACATTGTTGTCCCCTCGTTCAAGAGAGCACAGTACAAGGGGAAACCCACCCTGCTCGGGTCCAAGCTCCTTCCAAGCATTGATGTAGTGCCAAAGCGCTGGGCACAGAGAGACACTGCACACAGACTTCCCTCAGAAGGCCACCAGGGGAAAGCGCCCACTCTCAGCTGGAGCACTTGGGTTCTGCACATCCTGTCCTAGTGACAGAGTCCAGGCCGAGTCACAGGCCACACCCACTTTCCTGAGCACTGTGCCTCTGGCCTTCTGACTGTGGCGGCACCTGCCATGGTTCCACAGAGTCCCGGACCCCAGAGAGGCTCTGCGCCAGCCCCGGCTCGTGACGTCCCTCCAGCCTTCCCCTAGGCGAGTGTGTCCACCAAGTCAGTAGCAGGCAGAGGAGAAGTGAGGTGCCACACCCAACCCACTGTGTCCCCCCAGTGCTGTACAACTGTGTCCTGCTGTGGCCGGCTTCACATGCTGATGGTCACACTGAGTCATGAAGACAGACTGTGCGGCCACAGTTTGAAGTGTAGTAAGTCCAGGTGGATTGTCAGATCAGAGACACCAGCATGCATCGGCCTCAGTGTGAGGCTTTGTGGACATGTCACTTTGCAGCACAGCCACATCTGTCCCTGTCTCCAAAGGCACTGTGTAGTCCCAACTCTCCTGCCCATCCTCCTCCACAGATGGCCAGCAAGGAGGAAGACCCCTAGAGAGGGGGGCAGTTGTTCTCGCTGTCAGAGGACAAGGACATTCTGGCTCTGGGGTAGGGGTAGAGAGGGGTTGTTCTTAGTGACACTTCTCCTTCCCTGTTATCAACCACATTTTTGGGGTTCCTTCCTCACACCCGATTTCCAGATTAGCCTGGGCTGCTCTCAGAACAAGACCTGCTCACTTTTCTAGACTCTGTTTTTACTGAACTTGAACAAACAGGAAATATTATTTTGTTTAGAGGCTTTAAAGCAGTGCCTCCCTACCCACCCTAAAAGGGTCTACGAGATGGGGTAGACCCACCAGACATCGGACCTGAGTCACTTTCCACTGACCATTTCACAGCCCACCCCATACAGTCAACTTCCTGGGATGGACTCGGCCACTAGAAAGGCAGAATCGGGCGTATTCATCAGCTATCCTGTCACTGGGACAAAATACCTGACACCACTTAAGGGAGGAGAGGCTTACTTTGGCTCATGATTTCAGGGGGTTCATTTCATGGGCAGCTGGCTCCAAGACAGAAACATCATGGCAGAAGGGCATGGTGGAGGAAGAGGTGCTCAACTCACGGTGGCTGGGAAGCAGAGCCAAGCTGCAGAACAGTGCTAGAGCAGAAGGGGTGAGGGACCACTGACAGTCCCCAAGGACACACCTGCAAGACCCATTCGCCTGACCTGGTCCTACCTCCTAAGGGCCTATTCAGCTGTGGCCTCATCCGTGTGCTAACCTGCCAGCCCCTACCCTGCAGATGTGTCCTGTGTCCTGGGATGCCAGTGGGAGGCTGATTTATTCACCTGGGCTTTCTGGAGCACCCACCTGCCCTGCTCAGCTTCCCTCAGTCCTCCCCAAGGCTCAGGACTGTCTTCCTGCAGGCGTGGGGGCCTCCGTTTCGAGGTCAAGAGCCCTCTGGCACCCCCCACTGAACTGCTGGAGGGCTGCCCAGCCACGACTGCCTTCTTCAGAGTGGCAGTAACCCTGGGGGTCTTCTGCAGGCTCTTCCTGGGGCTCATGCTAGGCATGAGCACATTTCTGTAGTAGGCAGGAGCTCAGGCGGCTCCCTTTCCCTGGGGCCTGGGGAAGCCCCTGGTCATACCAGGTGGGAAGGGAGGGGGCAGCCCCTGACAGTGACCAAGCCTGTCTCAGACCCCAGCAGCACTGGTTGTAGAATCAATCCCATTCATCTCACGTGAGCTCACGTGAGCTCAGATGTGCCCTTCTTTCTCCTCACATGGTCTTGCTTGAATGCAGCCAGCCTTTCCTTCTATCCCACAAACATTTGCTCTTTTGGGTGGCAGTTGGGCTCCTGACTTGTTCATTTCCTCCCCCGCCCCAGGACGGCAGATGCTTCTTCAACCTTCAGAGGCTCTGGGGAGGCCTTGGGAGCCACTGTCCTGGTCCTCCATCCTGGAACGCAGGTAAGGCTCAGGTTGAATATTCCCACATGTCACGCTAGCCCTATCAAAGCCCTCTTTGGCGATTCCTAACCCTGGCAATGCTTTAGGGTCCCTTGGGGGTACCCGCCCCATCCTTCACCTGCACAACCAGATTCTGCAGGGGTGGGGCTTGATAATCTGTATTTCACCAAGTCCTTCAGGCTGGTTAGCAGCAAAGCCAGAGTTGAAATCCACAACTGATACCAGAGATTCATAAACTCCAGCCCATGGGCCGAATCCAGGCTATTCCTGGAAGCAAAGTTTCATCGTGTCATAGTCACACTCATTGTTTGTCTCATCTGTGGCTGTTTTGGACTACAACAGCAGAGTTTACTAGTTGAGACAGGCTGCTGCCTGTGAAAGCTAAAATATTTACCATCTGGCCCGTTATTTCAAGAGTTTACTAACCCATGGTCTAGATCCCTGGGGGAGCCAGGGGTGGAGCTCAGGGTCCCCAGCCAACTTGGTATACAGAGATGGGGGAGCCGCCCCATTATGGGTCGGACCGAATTCCGAGAGAGTCTCCTGGGTGCCCCACTCTGCTGCTGCCAGAAACACCCTCCCCTGCTCCTGGCTGCCCCCATGGAGTGCTGGGCACAAAGCCAGCTTCCCCTGGGGTAGCATCTCTGCCATTCCAGCCCACAGTATGTCCCACTCTGCTGTCTCCTGCCTGGCCTGGTGGGTGTGGAGACACCAAGTGTCCAAGCAGGATCAAATGGCCCTCAGGGCTGCTGAGGAGATAGGGCAGATCTGAAGACGGGGGATGCAGGAAGGGGAGGCTTCTTACTGGAGGCATTGTGGGGAAGGTTTCACCAAGGGGCTGTGTTCTCATGGGAGAGGACTTTTCTAGGAGGAGGAAAGGGGTGTAGAGAGGGGACCCCAGCTCCTTCCCACCTGGGCCCTCATGCTGGGGCCCTTTGGTCACTGCTCATTTGGGATTTCCCCCTGTGTACCACGCCTAGCTCCTTGGTCCAGTCAGATTCCGGGAGGGCAGGAGCCTCATCCACCTTGTCTCTGCCTCCTCTACCCCAGGACATCCTCTCTCCCTTCCTCATCTGCAGAGGGGTACAATTCATCTCTACATGCTGGGGCTTGGTTCGGTTTTGGTTTTTGAGTTCTACAGCCTATCAGCTGCCTCCTAAGTTACACACTTCATCTGCTGTGCTTTCGCTGGCCTCTAGAACAAACTTTCGCCTTCTCATCCTATTGTCTGTCCCTCCTTCCCTCTGCTGGTTGCACTCTCCCCACTGGGCTCTGGTGAGCTTCACCGCAGCAGCATCAGGCCACAGTGCCTCCTCTTCTCTGCAAGACCTGGCCTGGATAAGCCCCAATCCCTCCGGAGACAAACCGCTTGTCTCAGCAGGGTCCCCATGGTGACGGAGGAGCTGGCCCGGGAGGCCCTCCTCAGCTTCGTGAGCTCCAAATGCTGCTACGGCAGGGCAGCCGCAGGTTCCCTCATCATCCAGGAGCTGAGGCAGCAGACACTCTGCAGGGTAAGGAGCCGGCGGGTTGTGAGACGTTGGGGTGAGGTGGGGCTGCGCGGTGTGGGTCGGGGAAAGAAGTCAGAGTGAAGGTGGCACGTGTGGACGTGGGGTGCTGAGACCCTTCTGCGGTTGCCGTGTTCTGCAGCCATGATTGATAATAACAAGAATAAACATCATGGACCATCACATGCGAGTTCAAATGCGCTAACGGCATGCAAAGCACATGGCACTCACGTCTTGTCAAGCTCTGCCATTACTCCAGGCAGGGCCATGTTGTCACCTGTCTCAGGAGGGACAGAAGTCTGGGGAGACAAAGTATGTGCCCCAGAACATGCAGCCAGAGGAGAAAGAGCCAGGCTTTCTCTCTCTCTCTCTCTCTCTCTCTCTCTCTCTCTCTCTCTCTCTCTGGATTGAACCCAGCACTTTTGCACTGAGCTACATCTCCAACTCTTTTAATAATGATTTTATTTTTGTGTGAGGGCCTTACTAAGTCACTAGATTGCCAAGACTAGGCTCAACCGTGCCATCCTCCTGTCTCAGCTTCCCAGAGTGCTGGGGTTACAGGTGTGCACTACTGTGCCCAGCTAACAGACGTGCTGTTTTTCCTCTTGGTAGTACCGACTGGAGACCTTCAGTGAATCCAGGATAAGTGAATGGACATTTCAACCCTTCACTAGTAAGTCAGCTGTCTGAGCTCAGCTTGGGAGCAGATAAGGAGACGCTGGTGGGAAATCCAAGCCTGGGATGAGCTCAGCTGCTCATGCAGACTGAGATGCTCATAATGTTGGAGCTGTGGCCTCCCCACCCCTGTAAATCACAGGGCAACTTTGTCTCAGGCTCCCCAGTGCTGATCTCAGGAGATGCTTCTTTGCCCCTGGCCATAGAGAGTGTGGGTGCTCGGGCAGCATCGCCCCAACTCTACCCAACTATGAACCCCTGAAGTGTCTAGACACCCCCCCAGGCTCTCCTTCCCTCGGCCCCCCAAGTCTGTGGTTCCCTCTTGGGGAAGCCCTGGCCCTGTCTGCTTTCTCTGCTCAGCCACTCAGCCCATCCTGTGAGACTCTGCCCACGTGTTACCCTCTCTGAAGCCTTTTGGCTGCTGTTCCTCCCCAGCAGGACTGGCCAGGCTTCTGAGTTTTCAGAGCCCTTTGCACAGCTCTTCTGAAGAGCACCTTGATGCACCTCCCCCCAGCAGCAGAAGAGGAGACGGAGTGGTGGTGGGGATCTCGGTGACAGACGACAGCTCTTGCCCATGGATCCCTCAGTCTGTCCCAGCCCTGTGCTAAGCATTTTATAAATGTTCTTTTGTCTAACTTTTGCTGTCGTCCTCTATGGTAGGTGCCACCATTATCCCCATTTTAGAGGTGGGGGGACAGAAGCACAGGGAGGCTGAGCAGCTTGCCTTGAGTCCCGTGGCAAGGGAATGGAAGTCACACCCAGCTGTGCCCCACTCAAAAGCCTGGAGCGCTCAGCCGGCGTCTGAGGAGACCTTGCGCACTCCTTTCTTTCTCTCTTTTTCACTTCTGAAGGTTGAACTCAGGGCGTTTTCATTGAGCTTCATCCCCCATCCTTTTAAAATTTATTGTGAGATAGCATCTCATTGAGCTGCTAAGTTGCCCAGGCTGGGTACAGATTTGGGATCTTCCTGCTTCAGCTTCCCAGAGCGCTGGGATGACTGGTGTGGGCTGGCTTGTGCACTATTTCTGCAGCCCTTGGGACTTGGCCTAATGCCTGCTTGGTGAATAAATAAAGTCCTGTCCCTGTTGCCCTTCGCTGCTTTTATAATGATCCCTTTCTGTGTCAGACCACGTGGTTGACAGCCCACACAGAGGAACCTTGCCCAAGCTTTGGGACATCAAGGTCCAGGTCCCCCCGATGTTCCAGGAGGACACCAGGAAGTCCCAAGTGCCTCACTCCTCCCTGGTCAAGGTAAGTGGTTGATGGAATATTTGCTCCTTTCAGACTTTCCATGTTCTGCTTGCTTCTTATCCTCTCAGAAAAGAAACCTCCATCCATCCTGGTTGTTGTTGTTCAGTCATAAGTAAGCATTTATTCACAGTAAGGTACTTAAAGTACTTATTTAAAGTATTTAAAACCCTGGATGTACCACAGACTTGTACAGAATCCCATCTGAATTAGGGGTGGGCATTCTCACAGCCGGAAGCCCATTCCATCCATAGAACTGTTCCCAGCTTCAGATGCTGAGCAGAGCTTAGGAATATTCCATGACTGTTTGTTTGTCCTGATGGTATATAACCTAGGGCTGACTCAAACTTACATAAATAAATGTTAAAACATTATTGGCATTTCCCTAGGAAATCAGCAGGAAGCAACCTTTAGCTCTCGTGTGTGGGAGCAACAAAAGCACGGCGGGGATAAGGGGAGCCCAGTGTGTGAACCACATTTTAGATTCTCTTCTCCTCTAACTACTGCCTGTTTTCAGGGCTTGACCAGGAAGGGGCTTTTTACTCTTATGTTTTTTTGTTTTTTTGAGACAGGGTTTCACTAGGTAGTTGAGACTGACCTGGAACTCACTATGTAGCCCAGGCTGGTCTCAAACTCACAGTGATCCTCCTGCCTTAGCCTCCCAAGTGGTGGGATGACACCCGGCTTTACTCTTGGGTTTTGGTAGAGTTATAAGATGAAATAGACTTGGAGAGGGCAAGAAAGCATCCCAGAGCTGTTTTTCTTGAGTGATTATTAAACTCGAGTAGCAAGCTCATTGCTGTCGCGCCCACACTGCCCAGGATGTGCGGCTCCTGTTCCACCTCGTCACCAGAGGGACAGGCACCTTCAGACGTGCTGGTTTAGGCCCAGGCCAAAGTCAAGGCTCCAAGAATCCCCTTCCGGGCACTCAGGACTGATGGAGCCAGGCTTGAAGGAGGTGGGACAGGCTCTCCTCAGCCCTCGGGACCCTTCCGTGTCCCAGGAGGGCCATTCCTTCCGTGCTGTCCTCTTCTCTGGCTCTGAACCTGCACTTCTGCTTAAGAGGGCTGCACCCTGGCAGGGGTGGGGTGCTTGGAAACTGGGTCTGAGGTGAGCACTTTGCTTTCAGGACTGCCACAAGTGCTGTGGGCATGGGCGGTACAAATGCAGTGGCTGCCATGGTGCCGGCACGGTGAGTCACATTTGGGTCCCCAGGAGGAAATGATCGTACTGTCGGGAGAGGACAGGAACCCAGGGATGAGCCAGGACCCGGGTCTCCCTGAATGACAGGACCGTCTCAACAATCATCCTCCCTTTCTGGTCTTCCATTTTCCTGCTGGTTGTGGTGATGCACACTTGTGATCCTAGCTCTCTGGGAGGCTGAGGCAGGAGGATTGCAACTGAAGCACAGCCCAGGTGACTTAGCAAGAATCTGTCTCAAAATAAGAAATAAAAAGGGCCGAGGATGTAGCTTAGTGCAAAGAACCATCTGGGGTTTAATCCCCTGTATTGCAAAACAGCGGGTTCCTCATCTATAAAGCGGGTGTCTTAGTGACCCTTGCACTTGCACAGTTCCACTTTAGTTTTCCTCTTTTTCTCATCCATCCCCCAGCACCCATTGATCACCTGCTTAGAGCACCCATTGATCACCTAAGAAAACTGAGCCCTGGTCCTCCCAGAACCCCCTTGGTGGGCTGATCTGTACCAGCACTTGTAGTTGACGAGGCTTTGAGAGGTGTGGGACCTGGGGCTTATAAACCTTCTTTGGGCACAGCCTAGGCTGTGGAGGTCCTGCAACCTAGGCTTAACCAATGACATCGCAAATGTTATTTCCTAATAAGGTCCCATGCTGAGGTTACTGCAGACTCGAATTTGGCTGAATTTGAGTTTAGCCCAGCACAGGCGTGCAGCAGACACCCAAGACTTTGAGCTCCTTCCCAGAAGCCTCTGGGACCCTTGACTGTCCCTGGAGGAAGACCCCATTCCCCGTGTGCTCCCAGCTATGCCCAGACAAATCCTCCTCATGGGTCACATGCTGATCACTGGCCACCCTCACCTGTGTCTTGTGCTGCTCTCTTGCTGGCCATCTTCTGCTGGGTGTCCCTGTCCTTCAGCTCATGTGCTGCTCCAAGTTCCACAGTGGCCCATGCCTGGCTTTTCTCTCCCCTCCTGCGTCCTCACTCCTGCCATCTGCTCCTGGTGGCTTCCCTGGATCCACCTCCCAGGGGTCTTTCTTCTCCTCCTCCTTTCTGGGAGCCTCTAGTCTCCACTGAGCTCTGTCTGGGCTGCCTCTGGAGCCATTTCCCAAAGTGACCCCCGTGCCCATCCTCTCCCTCTTGTCCTCGATATAAGGAAGGTCCCTGCCAGCTCCTGCGCTCCCTGACCTTCTTGACACTGGGGAGGGTGTGTCTGGGGATTGGGGATGGAGCAGGCAGGAGGCTGATATCTCAGAAGAGCGGGGATCTATTGACGTGGAATCTGAGGGCCCCCACATCTGACCCTCCCGTGCTCAGAGGGAGTGACCCACACCGGGTCAACAGGCTGGGGTCTGCCCTGGCACCAAGTGCCCTGGGCCCTGCTTCCCAGCAGACAGCCCACGCCTGAGGCTGGGGTTGTCCACAGGTGAGGTGTCCAGCATGCAGCGGAGCAAAGCGCAAAGACCGGCCACCCCGGAAGTGTCCCATGTGCTCAGGCTCTGGCAGGCGCAGGTAGGAGTGAGTGAGTCCCCTATCTGCAGGGGATGTGGCCTGGCTCTCTGGCTCCTCATTTTCCACTTTCTGTGTCCAGCTGTGTCGCCAGGCTTTGGTGCAGAGCACTGAGCTCCGCTCAAGGCCTGGCATTCCCAGATAACAGGCACTCAGCTAGCAGTATGTGCCAGGCATGGTGAACCCACCAAAGTACCATCACTTGGGAGGCTGAGGCAGGAGGAATGCTTCAAGTTCAAGGCCAGACTGGGCTACATAGGGAGTTCAAGGCCAGCCTGAACTACAGAGTGAGACCGTGTGGGCAGGTGTGAGGAAGGAGGTTTGGGTGGGGGGTGCTTCTCTCTGTCCCCACAGGGAAGTGGTTATCCAAAAACACCAAAGGGCAATTCTTACCTCTGAGGAGCAGGTGCTGAGCAAAGTCCTGTTTATGAATTTATATCAGGGCCTGAATAGAACAAGGCAAATTGATTGATTAAACAGCCAACAATGCTCCTTCTTTGCTTATGGCATTTTGTAAGTAAGTATGCCCTGTAATGTGCTTATAAATCTTTAAAGAGAAACAAAATCAGGAGGAGGGAGAATATTAAAAGCTGGGTTGGTAAATGATACCTGTGGCTCATCCATCCTTCCTTCTGGAAACTGGATGGTAAAGCTTGGGGCACTTTCACCAGGATTAGGGAAGAAGTTCTTCTTTTCAGAAAGAAACTGAGGTTTCATCTGCCAGTGTGGGGAAAATCAGTCTAAACAGGTGTGAGCAAAAAACACATTTACAGGCTCAAGCACCAGTGAGCTGGATGGAGAGCGGTGGCCCAAAAGGGGTAAGGCCAGCCTCAGAGGAATAAGGGGTGGGCGATGGGCAGGAGGCACCCGCCGCCCACCTCTAGGAGCCGATGCAGGGGCCTCGGGAGCTTCCCGGGCTCTGCGAGCTCCTGATCAGTGCTGACTGTGGCCCTCAGATGCAGCATGTGCTCCGGGAGAGGGAGCAAGATGTGCTCCACCTGCAAGGGGGAGCGGAAGCTGGTGCACTTTGTCCAGCTGGTCACCATGTGGTACGTGGCAGCCCCTCTGCACCAGGGCTGAAGGAGGGGCTGGGGATGTGGCCGAGAAACCACTTGGTGGGGCTTCTGTGGTGCAGAGAGCTTCCAGGACCTGAGGAGGAAAGTCCTGGGGAGGGGACATAGGAGGGGTGGCCCCAGGGGACCCTGAGAGGGCAGGCACCGTGGTTGCTTTGCAGCGAGCGTGTCCTGTGCCAGGCAGCATGCTGAGCACCTGCAGAAATGCACAGAAGGTCCCTGAAGTGGATGTGCAGCCTCCTTTCCTCACTCCCCACCATGCAAGGCGGATACTGAGGCTGACAGAGGCCTGGGAACCCCCGGGCTTCCTCTTCTGTGTGCTGCACCCTGCTGCCCTGCTCCTGGCCACCCTTCCTCTCTCCCTCCAGGAGGAACAGCCTGTTTGAGTTCGTGTCTGAGCCCCACCTCGACTGCCCCAGGGAGCTCCTGGCCAAAGCCAAAGGAGAAAACCTCTTCAAGGATGAGAACCCGGTGGTAAGGAGGGCTCTGAGGGCAGGGGAACGCTCTTCCCACCAGTGTCGGGGCTGCAGTCACTGGCAGGCTGGAAGCCCACTGCCTGGCAGGAGCGAGGCCCCTGAGCCCTTTGGTCCCTGATGCCTGGACGTGGGAGGGGCTAGTGGTGAGACTAGGCCTCACCTAGGATCAGGCTGAGGGCTTGGACTGTGCATGCTGTAGAAGCAGACTTCTCTTGGACACCCACTGCTTGTTTATACATCATCTACTGCTGCCTTCTTGCTCCTGGGGCAGAGTTGAGGAAAAACAGATTATGTGGCTCACAAAGCCACGTACTGTCTGAGCCTTTGATGCCCTGGTCAGGGCCTACGGGGAACAAGCTCTGAAAAGCAGGGACCATGGCGGTGACCACCCTGCCCTCAGTGTCCACAGCAACACCAGGCCCCGGTGGATGCTGAGCAGGTGCTTTTGGAGGGCGGAGGGACAGGGCTGTGGCTCAGCAGTTTCAAGGACAGCAAAGAGCCCTGGAGGACAGGCCCACTCTCAAAGTGGAGGAGCCTCAGCACAGCCCAGGGTCACAGGCCCTGGGGAGTGGTCCCCTCGTCCTTGGATTTTCCGTAGGCTGACTGCTAGCTCTAGGGTTTACTGATGGTGCACAGTGTGTCTGCGGCTCACACACAATGCTAGGCACACAGTAGGTGGTTTCAGTGTTTGAGTGAGGAGTGAATCTGATTTCCTTTGCAGCCACATAGCACAGATCCCAAAGCCCAAGGCTCCAGGTGCTGGTGCTGTGGGTCTGAGAAGGTGAGGTGATCCGTGTCTCCCCCAGGTATACCCCATTGTGGACTTCCCCCTGAGGGACATTTCCCTGGCCTCCCGGAGGGGCATTTTGGAGCACAGCTCTACCCTGGCCTCCCGGGGACGCATCCTGCAGCAGGTGAGTGAAGGGCGGGGGGTGCTGACTGGCTCTCACTCTCTTCCTGGGCCCTGACTCTGGGGATTAGGTCTGGCACCGTCAGCTGCGGGCATCCAGGGCCAGGCAGGGTGCTGTCCCTCAGTCATCAGAAGGGAAAACTGAGCCTTGCTATCTGCCTGGGGGCTCTTTCCTGTTACTGTAGGGCTGAGGAAGGGGAGGCAGGGCCAGGACAGGGTAGGGGGGAGAAGGCAGAAGTACCAGCTGCACCATGGGGCAGAGGGCAGGCCCTGTGGCCAACTATCCCAAGGCTGGGCTCTGTGACACACTGTGTGATTTTTATTCTGACTTCTGGTTTTCAGTCGGGAGGATAGTTGGAGATTCAGGTCAGAGGCTGGGCTAGACCCTGGAACCCCGCGCAGCTCCAGCCCCACCTGCTCCCAGCAGCCCTGCTCATGTGGTTTATTCTGATGGGCACTAGGTGGCAGTGCTCCCCACCCTGTCCCAAGTCCCCAGGTGAGGCTCTGAGCGGCCCTCCCCTCGACATTCTGCTGGCTGGGGACCTCACAGTGGGAGCTGGGGCCTGTCGTAGAGCCCTTTGATGGGACCTGTGGTCGGGCCTGGGCCAGCAGATGGTATTGGACCCTGGGTCTCTGGCATCCTGACATGGTCCCAGGCCAGCTGCGTCCTTGTGAGTCTGGTTTCTCAGCTGGATTCAGAGGTCTTTGGCAGAGAGGAAGGACTGGCCTCAAAATGCTGGGCACGTGCTGCTCAAGGTGTTACTCTTCTCCCTGTCCTCTGCAGGGAGGGAGTCTCTCTCTCTCTCTCTCTCTCTCTCTCTCTCCGACTCTCCTGTTTGCAGAGGTGAGAAAGGCACATTTTTAAAGAATTATAGGGCCCAAGTGGGCCGGGAAGTAGAGATCATACAGGTGGGACATAGCACACTTACCCATGCCCAGGCAGACGGTCTCAGCGGGGAAGCGGCCCCCATCCAGAGACACAGCCACCACTCAGCTGTGTCAGCACAGGGTCAGAGGGCCCAGACCTCCTGATGTCTGGCTCTTTACACAAAACCTTCCAATTTGTAGGTATTGACAACAAAATTCCAAAAGAGCTGAGAACTCTGAAGGGGCTGATGGGCATGCTCAGGCTTGCCCTGGTCTGATCCAAAGTCACGACTTCACATAAAGGAGAGGAGGCCCAGAGAGTGGTGGTGCTTTGCCAAGGCCTTACAGCCTCTCAGTAGCAGCTCTGGGAGCCACACGGCTTCGGCTCACAGGGATGCTCCAGCCAGGTGTAGGATTGAGGGCCCTGGTCGCTGGGGACAATGTACTTACCAGGTTAGCACCAGCTTCCGACTTGAGCTCTGATTTCCCATCCCTGGGCTTCCTTATCTCTAAAATGAGGGGAGGTGGGGTCAGGTGTGCATGCGCGCCTGTAATCCCAGCACCCTGTGAGACTGAGGCAGGAGGATCTTAGGTTCAAGCCCAGCCTGAGCAACTTAGTAACTGAGGACAACTGCCAGCTTCTCCTCTGTCTGTTCCGACAGCAGCTGTCGGCTTACGTGATGCCTCTGCACTGTCTACCTGAAGGCCAGGGAGCCACAGCTCTTTGAATCTCCAATCCTGGGAACTGAGGGCTCAGCCTTATGGGCACACTGCCTCGTGTGTGGCCAGGATGGTCTCTAGAGGAGTTGAGCTGGAAGCCAGGGCTGGGAGCAAGAGCAGATTGGAGGGAGGCTGGAAGGCATGAGGCTTTCCATAGAATGATTTCCCAAGAAGCTCTGACTTGGGTTGCAGTCAAGAGCACCAAAAAATGAGGCATCCACTCAGGGTCTGGAAGAGGCTGCAAAAGGAAGGAGGGAGGGAGGCTGGGACACCACAGACTTTAATTCAGTGATCACTTTTTTTTTTTTTTTTCTGGTGGTGCAGGGAACAGAACCGAGGACTTTGCACACACAGGGCAAATCCTCTGCCACTGAGCCCTAGCCCCAGCCTGACTTTGTTTTACTTAGGAGGAAAACAATTTAAAATCTTTTTTAGACTTCTCACTTGGCATCTGGCAAAACTGGGGCCCAGGAAGGGGACAGGACCTGCTACTGAGATCACATAGTTTGGGGTGGCCAGTCTGGGCCTGGGACGTCGGTCTCTGGAGTCTGCCCCTGCAACACTGTCCCCTCTCTAGCACCACAAGTTGTTTATGGACAAATTCAGGAGGCTGAAAGTGCAGGTGAAAAAGCAAGGCACATTTTTCTTGAAAGAGGGACATAATGGTACATAGAAGCCACTTCCGTGAGTCCTTTTTCTAAACTTCCCTTTGGCCCCAAAGCTGAAGACAAAGCTTCTTGCCAAGATTTCAGTCAGGGTGCAGAAGACAGTGAGCAGAATCCAGTCGTGAGAACACAGATGCCATTACAACTCCCTGGCCAGGGCCAGGGACCTGAGATGGGACTCTGTCCCCTGTAGGCACAGCCATGTTGCGCAGAAACAGCCACCTACAAGACAGTGTGGAGAGCTGCTGCGGTCCTGAACAGTCTATGGTCTCAACTCAGACCTTTCCAGCCAAGAGGGTCGGACAGCAATGAGGGGAGGAGGTTCTGCCTCGTGATCTTAGAGAAAGTCAGGAAATTAGAGCATGAGGCCATCTCAGCAGAGTATCTATGACCTTCTTTGCGCCCCTTAGTTTTCATATCGGCGTTTCTGGAAAGATTACCTTCCTTTTGTTTCCAAGACTGTTACTAGGATACATTTCTAGCAGAGGAGGAAGATTCAGTCTTCCAGCCTGGCTCAGTTTTCTCGGCAACTCTGTGAAAGAGTTTTTACCCCATTTCGTAGGTGAGGAAGCTGAGGTCCAGAGGACTGGAACACAAGATTGTGTGGAGAGCCCAAGGGAAACTCCCTCCCTGATCCCGATTCCCCTCTACTCCTGCAGTCACCTGCCCCACTGCTCAGGAGCCCAGGGGAAGCTTCCCTCTGGGAGACAGCATCCAGCATGGGTGGCCACCCTACTCTGCCAGGACCCCCAAGCCATCCCCACAGCAGAAGCACCTGGCTCTTCCCCGGGGAGGGACTTCCTGCCAGCCCACCTCTCCCCATGCTTGGGATCCCCAAATCTGACAACGTAATGGGGAGATTCTTACCCAAATGGCACAGGGGCAGCCTTAGGAAGTCCCTGAACAGGCTCCTCTTACGTCCTCCTCACCTGCCTACATCAGCTGTGCAGGCTCAGGGTCAGTAAGAAAATAGCCCTGGAAGCTGACAGCGGCGTGCTCAGTGTGCTGTCCCCACCCGGGCTCTGTGCTCAGTCCTGCCTCCGGATTCAGGGCACACAGGATCACTCATGGGGGAAGTGCACGCTCTGGGACATTTAAAAGGCAGTGTGTGCCCGGGAGGGGATCTGAGTATTAATGGGTGCAGCTGTGGTGAGGGACTGGAGCTTGAACTGGTCATCTCCCGAACCTGAGCTTTTGCGAGCCCATCTGCCTCAGTTTCCCCATCTGTGAGAAGCAGCCAACACTTGAGAAACACTTCGCCCAAGTCAGGGCCTGTATAAAACTGGTGGAGCGAGGGAGGTCTGAGAGCACAGCTCTACACAGCCCATCAAGCTTGAGGTTCCTCTAGTAGTGATGTTTTATTTTAAAATTTAACCCAGAATTTAGAAATCACTACCTAGTACCTCTGTGAGAGTTTCAGGATAAACAAGTTTAAGATAACTTTATCATCTGCCAACTTCCTCCTGCATTTCTGCTTAAAGTTAGTGGTCTGGAAGATGTTGCGTCTGGCTGGTGGCTTTCCCTGGGGCTGATTCTGCCCCACTTGGTAAGACAGGGACTCTGATGGCAGCTGAAGATGAGAAGTCAGTTTTTCCCAGAGTTTAGGGTATGGAAAGGGGCCGAGTGGAACACAAATCTAGACAGGCAGATTGGACTCCGCAGCCCACTCCAGAGTTCATGCCCACCTCGGAGCGTGGACTTTATCCCACAGGCAGCAGGGAGCTACTGAAGATTCCAGAGCGGGTGTCTGACTGGAACAGAACGCTGAAGTTTGTTCCATGAACGTTTGCTTCCTCAGCGCCAGACCATCGAGCTGGTCCCCCTCACGGAAGTTCGTTACTGGTACCAAGGGAAGACCTCCGTCTACTACGTCTATGGCACTGACCACCAGGTGTACGCGGCGGCTTACCCTGCACGGTGCTGCTGCACCTGTACCATCGTCTGACCACGCGTCTGTCCCCAGGGCCCCTCCTCGCCTGCTGGGGCGGGTGCTGAGGTCTGACTCGCACATGGTTGCCATGTTGGAGAGCCACCTGCAAACCCTGTGTGCCTTCTAGAAAGGTGGGCGGAGCCTGTCTCAGCCACCTGTAGGGATTCACCTCCTTTGGGACAGAAGCCGGTTCCCTGTGGTGCTCGTGTAGGGAGGTCACTTAGTCAACAGGGGAAAGGCTCTTCAGTTACTATTGGAATGCTAATTTTTATTTAATGCTAATTTTTTATTCTGCTTGTTCTTTGGGTTTTTTTCCCCCTATATGCCTTACTTGAAATGACTGCTGAACTTCTTTCTGCTCGTAATACAGATCAGGGCACTGTAAGTGGGTAGAATGAGCTGGTAATTTTCTTGCTACACCTCATGTAGGAGGCCTGAACACTGAAATACATGTATTTTCTAAAAATGACTCTCTTCTAATGTCTGATTTATATTTCAATTTAAGTTGCATTCTAAAAATTATATATAATTATATGCCATACACATATATTATTCATAAGTATATGAATTTTATTTTAGGACCCAAAGGAAACATCATGTCTGCTAAGGTTGACCTGAAGGCCCATATACGGTGTTGGCTTGTAAACCCAACCCTGATCCTCACTGGGAGGAAGTGGGTGGGAATCAGGAGAAGGCACCCTTGAGCCCTCAGCCAGGGGGTCCTTGGCCCAGACAGCTTTGGCAAAACCCCGGGTGGACACTGCCCCTCCCTCCCCCGCCATTCCACAGCTGTTGTGTTTCATGATCTTTGCTGCCCTGGATCACAGGACACCCCTAACCCTAAGACTGGACTTTGGCTTGGCTAGGTTCTGTTTCAAAAAAGCATTGTACTCAGCTCTAGTCAGCCAAAGCTGGGACACTAAGAGGACTGTAAACTGGGCAAGCAGAAGCCCTGCCTGACCTGGGATGGACAGACAGCCTCGAGTCTGTCTGGGGTGGTGTTCTGGAATTATCTGTGCCTTGTCCCAAGTGGCATCTCATGCCAAAGAGGAGAGACTGAGACAGGAGTTTCAGGGAACTGGGGCACAGGGTGGGGCTCCTTTTCAGGAGACATTACAGTGTGGCAGTCACTTGAGGTGACCGCTGTGGTCACAGCCTCTGTTGTGGAGGTCAGTGCAACCTTCAGATTCAGCACTTAGCTTATAGTGGAGAGGCCTCCTCCGAGCCTCAGTTTCTTCATCTTCGAAAAAGATAAACCCTCACTTGGCTCACAAGGCAATTTCGGTGCTCACACGTGACCACAAGACAATGAATGTGAAAGTGCTTTGCAAATCAAAGCAATATTTGCGAACCCAGTGTTTTTCTGCTTAGGGAGCAGGAAAGAGGAACCTGATGTTCGTATTGCTGTCCACTCTGCCCACCAGAGGGCAGCAGATGCACACAATGAAAACCCCCGGCAGCATGGCTTAGGAGTTCGAAGTCTACCCCAGAAGACCCCGATGGCTGGCAGGTCCTAGAGCCTCAAGGAAATCAAAGCAGCTCCAGAAAGTTTCTTCAGAACTGATTTAGTGTGTCTTCTGTTATTGGTAGGCTCCTTTTAAGGTATTTTATCCTTCCAAAGAAAGGACTTCAAAGAACACCATGGTACCATTTAGGAATCCAGGCTTGAGATACCAAATTAAGGTTTTCTGTCTAGGTTCACATATTAGTTGCTTTTTCCCCCAGTGCTGATTGATCCCAGGGCCTTTTCACTGAGCTATGTCTCCAGGCCTTAGAAAAAAATTTTTTTAAAACAGGGTCTTGCTAAATAACTAAGATTTCCAGGCTTCTTTTGAACATGTGATCCTCCTGCATCAGCATCCCAAAGTGCATGAATTAGCTTTCAACTCCAATCTATCCTTTTATTCCTTCCATTCTTCAGACTTGAACCTGGTGCCTCCTCTGTCCTGGGCACTGTCAAGGGGGTGCTCCTGTGAGATGCGGGTGCTGGTCTTGTCTTGAAGGTACTTAGATTTTAAAGGAAGCATCATGGGAAGCAAGCATTTCTGGGGTACTACCATGGGCCAGGTGCTGCCATAGGCTCTTTGAGGTGCCCTCGCCCTGTGGGTTGGGCATTGATTAAGGAGCCGGTGGAGGCCTGGAGAAATTAAATCAAGGTCACCAATGTAGAGCAGAAGCTGGCACCTGGGCGTGGGCTGCTGGGCTCCAAGGCCCATGTGCTCTCTGGTCCAGCAGGGGGTGGACCCCATCACAGCTAAGTGGCAAGAGCCACAGAGAGGAGACCTTTGTCATGGATCATCCAGGGCAGGTATGCTGAGGATGTTTCCTGCAGCTGCCATCTGCCTGGGGCTTCTCCTGCTCCCTGCACTGGGCAGAGTGGCCCTGAGACCTGTGTCTGCTAGGGTGGGGAGACCTCGCTGGGGAGGAGCCCTGCCTCATCCTGAGTCCCCCTGCCTCCCCTCCCTGCTTGTTTCCCTGTGGTCCTGCTGCTCAGCCTATGGCTTCCTGGGATCTCCTTTTCCCACAGAGAGGAAAGGTGGGAAGATGTGTCAGCCACTTTTACTTGGCTTCACTTCTGCTTCAGCCATCAGATGCCCCTTCAGCCTCACCCCTGACCTCCTGCACAGTGGCCTGGGTTCTACTTCGTTCTCATCCTTCAGAACCCTCCAGATATGCAGACCAAAGACCAGCATCTCACTTGAATGGCTCAGGCCCAAGTTGCCTCCCCATTGTAAGACCCCCACCCAGCACAGTGGTTGCAAAGGCTTATGTAGCAGAACCCTTGTCCTTTCCCACCTCGAGTCACACTACAAAGCCCTGTGGGCACCATGACCCCTCCCAATTCTCCCATTTCTCTCGATTCCTGTTGTCCATTTTTCCTGACCCCAGAAGCTGAGGATAACGGGAAACATTCATGAAGTTTTTTCCAAGTGTTCATCCCTAGGCTGGGGATTTAGCTCAGTGGTTCTGCCACCTGCCTTGCAAGCCCGAGGACCTGAGTTCGATCCCCACTACCAAAAACAAAACAAAAAAAGAGGTAGATATATACATTCTAGGGCCGGGGATTTAGATCAGTGGTTCTGCCACCTGCTTTGCAAGCACAAGGTCCTGAGTTTGATCCCCAGTAGCCCCCCGCCAAAAAAAGAAGAACCAAGTGTCCAGCCCTTTCAAATTGTTTTACAAGTGTTAGGCCCTAAACTTTCACAACCATCTCATGAAATAGGGGTAGCTGTGGCCCCCACTGCACAGATGAGGAGACTGAGGTGTGCTGAGAGTTCAGAATCACTTGACCAAAGCCACAAAGCCAGGCAGTGCAGAGCCAGGCATCTCTGACTTTAAATGCAGGGTGGAAATTCGGTGCACTGTTTTGTGTGCAAGAGCTGCTTCAGGAAGGGGAAAGGATGATGGGATAAACATGTTCAAAACAAAGGAGACTGTTTGGAGAAGGGTTAATGATAATGTATCTTACTGTAACAAAAATTTTTATTTGAACTTTTGCCATTTTTTTCATTGAGTTTATTGGTACATTTTAGGTATACAGTACAGTTACCTTCATTGTTGGGAACTTGTACCTTTCCATGAGGTATCTTGTTTCTTATCAGAACATTCCCTTGCCCTCCCTTTCCGCCCTCCACCCTTCCCTATTTACAAAGACTTTGTTTCTGTTTTCTCCTCTTATATTTTTTCTTTTCCCTTCTTTCCTTTCCCCCTCCCCTCCCATTTGACCACTTCTCGTGGGTGTGGCAAACTGTGAAACATCGCTGACCTTCAAATGCATCCTCGCTCTGCCCCTTCCTGGTCCTAAGACTCCAGCTGCTCAGCCGGTGTTAGTTGCTCCTCTGAGGCTGTTGTGAGGACCGAACATGCAGACTGCACAGTCCCCTTGAAGCAAGGCCTCAAACATCCACGCATGCTGTAGCTGTGACTGTTGGTCCCTCGGGCATGGTGTTGTCACTGTCACTGTGCTCTCATCCTGGAGAGTCGCCGCGGGACTGGAGTGCTGACTGAGACAGCCCCAGCACAGAGCCGGGGTCCACTGAAGGGACTGTTTGTGCTGTTTGTGCTGTTGCTGTAGCTTTTCTATTTTCAAAAGTCCTTTCTCTCTTATTTGATCCTTACCTCAAATCTGAGGGGAAGCCAGAATTCCTTTTGTTCATTGAAAAATGTTGAAATTGATACTCAAAAGAAGCAGAAAGCTCTGTTTCAGGCTTCCTAAACTTAGTAAGAATGAAAGCGATGACTGAAGCTCAAAATGGTTGGACTCAAAGCGCCACGCCCTTCCTGTTGCCGACCTTTTTGCCAGTGGGGATAAGGCATTGAAGGCCCTTCAGCCTGGCCACCTGTTAGGTAAGGACACAGCCTCTGAAGTACACCAGCCCCTGATTGCTTGTCCTGGGCTGAATGCATGTGTTCTGTCCAATCCCAATGTGGTGGGAGGCACGACAGGTTAGGTCATGGAGGGGATGACTCTCCACCTACCAGGAGAGGGTACAAGATGTTGGCCATGTGTGGCCGGGAAGAGGCCCTTACCAGAACCCAGCCACATGCTGGAGCCCTGATCTTCCCCTCTCAGCCTCCAGAATCATGTTGGTAAGCTCCCAAGACTTGGTATTTTGTTATAGTGCCCAAAACAGAAGTACAATGCATGTTCTATTTACCATCTTGATGTGATCCCTTGTTAATTCTTTAAGACCCATTTACTTTGAGGTCCATTTCAAAGGTGAGAAAGCTCCTGCTTGAGGTGTGCCACGGATTGGGAAGCCAGGGTCTTCTGGGGCCTGGTTCTCCAGTGTGAAGCTGGAGGTGGGGGAGTGGTGTCCTTGCCTCCACAGACCTTGCAGGACTGCCTCCGGCTGTGGCCTTGGTGCCTCCTCTGGTGGGGCCTCAGCTCAGCACTTCCTCCTTCTGGTTGCAAAACCAGGCTGGGATCTCGAGCACCTGTGCCTGGCTGTCCCCAGTCCCAGTCCCAGTCCGCCATCTTGTCTCACACCTGCCAGTTTGTAGTCATCTGGCCA